GAGGATCCATTACAAAAATAAATAAATAAATAAATAAATAAAAATGAAAATGACTACAGGGTTTTTAAGGTACTTAACTAGCAGGCAGCTGACCCAGGTTTGATGCATAGCACAGAATCAAGAATAAGCCCTGAACCCTATAGCCTAAAATCCAAAGATAACACCAGGGTTCAGGGATGTAGCTCAGTATAGGCCGCCTGCCCCATAGACAAGAGGCCACAGTCTGCTGTCCAGCACCATTTCACAGGCCAGCATCCTGGCAGAACCTATTGCTGGTAATCCTGGAACCACAAAAAACACGTTTGATCTTCACTATAATGCAACCAAGTATACACAAGAACCATATCTAAAATGTGGCTCCCATGCTCACGGCCACTGTTCACACACTCAAACGAGTTCACACACTCACCCATGAGTGAATCTGCAGAAAAACCCAGGTAGGCAGGACTTTGACTGAAAACTCCAGGCTCAATGGAGCCAGGAATGGGTAACCTCCCCCATGCCCCTGTGTTTCCGGCAGCTTGGCAGTCATGCTCACAAACTGCCTCTGGCACCATATAATCTCATCAATGGCCATGACCCAGAGACTCAACAATGAATCTCTCAGAAGAGCACAGAATGATATGCCGTTAGAAATGCCTCCAGAACCTGCGCCACTCTGTTTTATCCAGGGAAACCTGGAGAGGGAGGTGGGGGGTGTGGGGGGGGAAGCGGATGAGTTCCCCTCCCTGGCCCAACAGAACCAGCCCCTGCAGCCAATAACCTCCAGAACTCAATGGCTGCCATGCTCATGGTCAATCACCACACACTTGGATGAACCTCACCCATGAGTGAATCTATTCCTGGACCAAGCTGCCACATTTGTGGCCGTGCAACTTTACACCACTGATGTACAACACATGAGTAGCACAACACATTTGATGGGATTTAAAGTAGAATGTAACCAATCTTAGGGGGAAATATATATATGTGTGTGTGTGTATATATATATATATATATATATATATATATATATATATATAAGGCTCAACCTTTAACAACATGTTACTAATCTCTTCTAGAAAGGCTTAATGGTCCCTGGGTGAAATACAACAATCTTCACACACTTTTCTCTAAGGAAACTTTTTTGCATCACTTTTAGCAGATTATTCATAACAAGTAATACAAAATGCTTTGGTTCTCCTTTGGGGGCAGGGTTTGGGGTTCGGGATGAAAACATTCGAAGCATGGTGGTGGGAAGGTGTAATGGTGGTGGGATTGGTGTTCAAATACTAAGTATAATTAATTATTGTGAACAACTTTATAAAAATAAAATTTAAATAAATAAGCAAATGGCTCTTGCAATGCTGCTTGCAGCCTTAGCAAGCACTGCAACTACATGAATACAAATACCATACTTGTAGTACACAACCACCTGCAAGCACTACAACCTAGAGTGTGCAAGCACCACAGTTAAAGTCTATGACTCCCAAAAAAGTTGATTATTAAGCAAGTATGCAATCCTCAAACACTGCAACTACAAAGGAAAGGGAAGGCAGGGATTGGCGGTGGGGGGCTTCGGGGGATCAAAATTACAAAGTGACCATAATAATAGTCAGTTCACTTCCATTTGCTAAGGAAAGCAAAAAGCAAAATTAAACAAATGCCATTGCCTCAAACTAAAAAGCTCCTGCTTTCCAAAATAAACTGTCATTAAACCAAAAAGACATCCTGCTGAATGGGAGGAAATATCCGTCGCCATACAAATAATATAAAGCTAATCTGACAAAGACATATAAAGAACTCAGAAAATTCAAAAAAATTTATCAGTAAATGGGGAGAAAAAGTTGAACACATAGATACTCAAGATATATAGCTGTCCAACACACACATTTAAAAATATTCATCCTCAGAAAGGGATAGATACAAAATGACTGCATTCATTTGTGGTATAAATATATATATAATCTATGTTATATATTTTTTTATATCCAGGAAAAACAAGGTATAGGAGGACTGGTCAATGGCTGGAATCAACCACAATTGTATTGGGGGGTGGGGGAGGGCGGAGGGTACGTAAGATAGAGAAGAGACAGGATGACAGTAATACAGTAATAGCTGGAATCGAACAAGTACTGAGTGTTAAATATAGGTAAAGGGATACAACGGATAATCTTTCAGTACCTGTACTGTAAACCACAATGCCCAAAAAGAAAGAGAGGGAGAGGGAAGAGAGAGATGGGGGAGAGAAAGTGAAAGAGAAAGTGAAAAAGAGAGAAGAAAAATGCCTGCCACAGAGGCAGGCTGCAGTGGAGGAGGGGGGGGTGTGGAGGTGATCAGAGGGAACCTGGGAACACTTGTGCTGGGAAACATACACTGATGGAGAGATGGGTGTTGGAACACTGTATAACCAAAACCAAATTATGAACAGCTTTGTAAAGATCTATCTCCCAGTGATTCAATAATAAAGTCAATTAGTAATGAAATCAATACTAAAATTAACATAACATAAAAATAAATATAAATATAATAAATATAAATAAAATAATAAAATTAAAATAAAATAGGGGCTGGAGCAATAGCACAGCAGGTAGGGCGTTTGCCTTACATGCGGCCGACACGGGTTCGAGTCCCAGCATCCCATATGGTACCCTGAGCACCTCCAGGAGTAATTCCTGAGTGCAGAGCCAGGAGTAACCCCTGTACATCGCCAGGTATGACCCCAAAAGCAATAAATAAATAAATAAATAAATTTTAAAAATAATAAAATCAATAATGCTCATCATCACTATCAAGGAAATGTAGACCAATCAAAACAACAATAAGACAGAATCACACCAGTGAGAACAGCAAATTTCAGAAAGAACAGAAACAACAACTACTAACAAGGATTTGAAGAAAAAGAAGCCTGACATTTACATTGCCTTTTTTATTTCCTGTTGATGGAAATATTAACAGGTTCAGCAGCTATAAAAATAATATGAATATTTCTCAAAAAATTATAATTACTATGTTATTCAGAAATTCTATTTCTAGATGTCTGTTTAAAGAATACGACAACATTTATTTGAAAAAATATGTGCACATCTATGTTCACTATTTACAATACCATGATCAGAAAACTACTCTCAAGTGACCAAGGACAGATGGGTAGATAAACAAAATGCGGTATACATACACAATGGAAACTAACCTAGAAGAAAAAATATTTTTGTTATAACATAGATGGGACTAGAGGGGATTGTGCTAAGCAAAAAAAGCTGGAAGAAGAAAACTACCAAATCATCTCACTCATGTGGTATATAAAGAAACAAAGCAATGAAACTGATTATGTCCAGTGAAAAATAAACCCTTAGACTGAGAATTCTAAACCATGGAACTGAGGTTACCAAGGAAAAGTGGAAATAGAAGAATGAAACAGTCTAATGGGCTATGGTGGCAGAATACTGGCAGTAAGTGTAGTGTATTCCTAAAATACATAAATATTTACATTCTTTTTTTATCTCTTCTAATTTGGGGGGGGGCACATATAGCAGTGCTCGTGAGCTATTCCTGGCTCTATGTTCAGGAGTTGCTTCTGGTTTTGCTCGCAAGATGATGGGATACTGGGGGACACACCCAGGCCTCTCACATGCAAAGCAAGTACTCAGTCTGTGGCACTCTCTTGGATACCTAAATATTTACATCCTAGTAGATCAACGGGAGGGCCTTTACCTTTACCTTTAGTAGACCTATATTACCTCAATAAAAAATGCTTACAACTGGGACTGTAGCTCAGTGGCAAAGTAAAGTCTTGCATGTGTGGGGTCTTAGATCTGATGCCTGGTGTCATTCAAAATTTTAAAATTATTTTATATTTTTTCATATACTTTTTAATTTAAAAAATTTATATAATTTATTTTTAAAGTTTTTAATAATACTAGATTGCAGATAAAGAAAATATTGGGTAGGAAGAGTAAATCCAAATTTAATTTTTCCAGTTTCCTTCTGATAATATAGTTACAGGTAGTAGTCAGGGAAATCACATGAGAGACATAAAACCAGGCATATTTCTTTTGGTGGAGGGGGAAGGTCTCCCAAGCACAGCTCAGGAGGCTTGGGAACCATTGCTAGTGATCCTTGGCCAACCTGGCCAGAGGTTCAATGTAAGAATCCAAGACTTCGGGGGTCAAGAATGCAGTGCTGCCTGTTCACAACTGCCAAAATCTGGAAACAATCCAAGTGACTGAGAACAGACGACTGGTTAAAGAAACTATGGTACATCTACACAGTATTACACTATGCAACTGTTAGGAAAGATGAAGTCGTGAAATTTGCTTTTAAGTGGATGGTCATGAAGAGTACCAGGCTAAGTGAAATGAGTCAGAAAGAGAGCGACAGACATAAAATAACTGCACTCATTTTTGGAATACAAAATGACATGAGACTGATACCCAAGGACAGTAGATATAAGGGCCAGGAATACTGCTCCACAGTTGGAAGCCTGCTTCATGAGCTGGGGGCAAAGGCAGCTAGGATAGAGAATGGATCATTAAATCAATGATGGTTGGAGGGATCGTTCGGGATGGGAGATGTAAACTGAAAGTAGGACCAAATGTAATAGCCTCTCAGTTTGTAACAGCAAACCATAATGCCCAAAAGCCGAGAGAGAGAATAGGGAAATTGTCTGCCATAGAGGCAGGGGGAGGGCTGGGATGGGGGGGGGGGGGGGGACACTGGGGACACTGGTGGTGGAAAATGTGCAATGGTGGAGGGATGGGTGTTCGATCACTGTATGACTGAAAATCAAGCATGAAAGCTTTGTAACTATCTCATAGTAATTCAAAAAAAAAGAAAGAAAGAAAAAGAATGCAGTGCTGCTCAGGCCCTGCAGTGCTACACAGAAGGCAAGAGCCTTAATCTCTACGCTACCTCTTTGAGAGGGGCCGGCAGGATGATTGCAGTTCATATTTCTCAAAACGCTCAAGCATTTTAAAAGTTTACATTAACAAGGAAGCAAACTATTTATTTTTGTTCAATACCTGGAAGATTTCCATTGTGATCCACATCTTCGATGCCACATCCCCATTTAACTAAAAGTTGCAAGCAGCCAAGCCGCCCATGAAAAGCTGCATAATGTACAGGTTTCCAATCTCTCTTATCAGTTATACTGGGATCCTAGAGGTAAAATTTACAAGGACTAAGTTTCTCTCCATTTTGTGTACGAAACACTAAATCTAATAGACTGACTTTACAAATGAGAATTGGAGGCTATTCTTAACACTATAATGTAGGAACTAAATAAAAAATTAACTAAAGAGCTGCCTTGTATGCAGTCAACACTGTTTGATCTCAACAGTAAGCATGGCCCCTGAGTCCCACCAAGACGGGGCTGGAGCAATAACACAGCAGGCAGGGCATTTGCCTTGCAAGTGGCCAACCCAGGTTCAATTCCCAGCATCCCATACGGTCCCCGGAGCACTACCAGGAGAAATTCCTGAGTGCAGAGCCACGAGTAACCCCTGTGTATCGTCAGGTGTGACCCAAAAAATCAAAAAGAAAAAAAAAAAAGGTGATCCTGAACACAGTACCCTGAGTACTGCTAAGTGTGGCCTAAAACAAAAAAGTTGGATGCTTCAGAACTTTCTCTCCACCCTATCCCCTGCCCCCCTTCCCTTTGTTGCTGTCTGTTTGTTTGTTTTGGGGCCACACCTGGTGGTGCTAAGGGCTTACTCCTAGTAGCAGGCTCGGGGTACTACATAAGGTGTCAGAATCAAACCCAGATTGGCTGTGTGCAAGGTAAACGCCCTACCCACTGTACTATCGCCCTCACGGTAGTGCTCACCAGGGATCACAATTCTCTAGCTACAGTGCCTGTACATGTGCTCCTCTGGCATGGCAGCTACTCCTGAATGGGGTGCTGGCGAGAAGTTGGGATTGTTATGGTACTGGCACAAAAGCTCTCCCAGTCAGTGTTCCCACTTTCTAGTCATGATGTTTGCTCACATGGGGCCACAGTGCAGCTGGAAATCACTGCGGCACCAGGGTTCACAGAGAGCAAGCTGCCAGATACAAATGATGGATCCACTGGGACCTTGCTCATCTCATGTGGCAGCAGCAGCGTGATCAAATTCAGTTCCACAGGTGCTCTAAGCAACTGAGCTCTGCCCTGAGCACGGAAACTTCAGAATCTTTCCAGTTAAACACTAAACCAATATGGAAAACCCAAAGTATCTGGAATACTTGGGTTTTATAGATAGGTTTTATAGAAAGGAACATACCACCCCTACCTATCTCCTGGTGAAGTTTGTGGTGCAAAGATCAGATCCAGGTCAGTCACATGCAAAGCAGGTGTCCTACCCACTGCACTATTGATCCAGCCATGAAATATTTTGAACTACTAGATAACCTTTTGGAGCCCGGGCTATAGTACAGCAGGTGAGGTATTGGCATTGCACTTGGCCTATCTGGGTTCGATACTCAGCATCTCATATGTCCCCCAAGCACTGCTAGGAGTGACCCCTGAGCTCAAAGTCAGGAGTAACCTCTAAGTGGTGTGGCCCAAAAACAAACAAATAAATAAATAACCAAAAGTTTTTTTCTCTTTAAGGTTTATCTAAATTATCACTCCCATATTTAAAGACAGTAACCCTAAAAGGAAAAAAGAAAACATAAGTTCCCAAAGTGCTATAAGAAATTTTAAACACCAGAAGAGAAACAGTTCAGCAAATCTCATTCCATCTCTATGGTTATAAAGTCTAACATTTCACAGAAACGTCTCACCGCTCCACTTCGCAGTATTACTTGTAGAGTGAACGAATGTCCATGTGTTGCAGCAAGGTGTAAAGGGGTGCATCCACGATCGTCTTGCGCTGACAGATTTGCCCCGTTGATTATAAGAGCCTAAAGGTTGAGAAACACAAATGAATTTATATGCCTATGTATTAAACCATAGGCAAGCTACCCGTGGCATATTCAATATGCCGAAAACAGTGATGATGATGGTCCTTATTCCCCTGACCCTGAAAGAGCTCCCAATATGCCATCGGGCTACACTAGCACATGACAGGGACGAATTGGATATGTTACTGGCGCCCACTCAAGCAAATCGAGGAACAACGGGATGATAGTGATAGTGATAGTGATGTATTAAACCATGAGTACATGTGTATTATCCAAAGGAAGGTATTTATTAACCTAACAACTCAACTTTTATATGTTCTTGCATGTATACTACAAAGTATAAGAAACTCTTAACTAGCACTAAGAAAGAATGCTTGAGATCTTTTTTAACATCCACAGGAAATTTTGTCGGGCTTCCACTAACGAAACAATCAATAATCATCATACACTGAGTACAGTTACTGTATCTTAAAAGTCACTATGAAGAGTAAGAAGACAAATCAACTTGGAAAATCACTATATAAAGCAGTCTTTGGTAGGCAGTAACTATATAAATACAATACAAAAGTACCACACAAAGGCTCTGAGATGAAATCATTCTGAAGAATAGGAAAACCATGGAAACACTTAACTTATGCATAGAAAAGGACAGCATTAGAGAAGATTGTTAGAGAAGATTCACTTGGTCCTGATTTCCTCCCTAAGGTTACTACAGTATTTTCCTTTTCACTGCCAACTTCTCTATGTGTGTGTGTGTGTGTGTGTGTGTGTGTGTTTCTCTCTTGTTCTCTCTCCCTCTCTTTTTCTTGTCAACTTCTCAAATTAGTATGTCAACGTCTCAGCTTCAAATCCACTTGCAAATTAAACTGCACACTATCCCACTGTATGTGAAACTACAATTAACCTCCCCATACATAAATCTCTCAAGTTTAGGAGCAAAGATACAGAACAGCAGTAAGAGAATTGTTCTGGATGCTGCTGACCCAAATTCAATCCCCATCACCACATATGGACTCCCAAGCCCCACCAGGAGTGATCCCAGGGCACGGTCAAGGTAAGCCCTAAGCACAACAACCAGGTGTGACCCCAGAACCATAGAACTAAAGCAAATAAAAGCCCTCAGGGCTGAAGAGACTGTGTGCTGGGCAGGGCGTCTGCCTTGCAGGCAGCTGACTCAGGCTTGATCACCAGCATCCCAAGTCCACCAGGAGTGATTCCTGAGTGCAGAGCAAGGAGCAACCCCTGGACCCTGCCAAGTGTGACCCCCCCAAAAACAAACAAACAAAAAAACTGAAGTTCAATGGCATTTCATTAAGCGTTGTTCCTCTAGTTGTATCCTGTAACACAGACTCTACCTAACTTCAACTACTTCACTATACAGACCTAAGGGACCTTGACTCTCGTAGCTCTTGGACTTGCTTATCCATGTTGTTCCATTGTCCATTTCTCTGCTTCCAGCTCTCCCTACTAACAGCGACCCTTAGCATTCACTCCTCAGTACTGACAACCTTCCCTATGACTCCAGTACCCTCTCCACCTGCCGGCCCCTTTGCACCTGAATGACCTATAGGCACGTTAAACATGTTGAATGTGTCAAAATGAATTCAGCTTCTTTTCTTCTGAAATTCCTGTTTCTGATTTCCCTCTCCGTACAGTCATTCTAACTTTAAATTCTCTCTACTTATTAGTGCCTACTGTGCAAGATGACTTGAATCATTTACTTGTTTTCTTAACATCATCATCTAATTTCATCCTCAGTAATGAGTGATTATATCAAAGACCTCTAATTCATCTTTTCTTCCCAACTCTCCTTGTCCTAGGTAATCTCAGATACATGTTACTAGAGGAGTTTCCTGAAATATTGCTTTCATTACTTTATTTCCCATTAATATTTACAAATATGTATATGGATTTATACATGTGTACACATAAACACCAGAACATATGTGTATATACAGAAAAGAAAAAAAACTCTTCTACACAAATAAACCAAAATCATTATTCACCTACTTCTAAGACATTTTATAAATCTGGCTTGTCCACATTTAGTAACAGTTCACACAATAATCAACAGTCAGATAAATTGATAGAATGATATATACACTACCTTTTTCCAAGTCAGATAATTCACATAAAATATACAGGGCAAATCTAGGTTCAAATCCTTCCTTTGTCACTCAGGAGTAGGCACTCATCTCTCTGGCTCTGTTTTCTAATCAATTTTTTTAAATGATTAAAAAATTAAAATTAAAATTAAAAATCACAAAATTAAAAGAAGTTTTACACAGGAGACTGTGGCTGACACATAGATAGGTAAAGGTAAAGGTAAAGGCCCTCCCGTTGTTCGTCGATTTGCTCAAGCGGGCCCAGTAACGTCTCCATTGGAGACTTTGTTGTTACTGTGTCTGGCATATCGAATACGTCACGGGGAGCTTGCCAGGCTCTGCCATGAGGGCGAGATACTCTCGGTAGCTTGCCGGGCTCTCCGAGAGGGGCGGAGGAATCGAACTCGGGTTGGCCATGTTGGCTGCGTGCAAGGCAAACGCCCTACCGCTGTGCTATCGCTCGATAATCATTTTTTGTATTTAATCCCACCATGACCCCTACTTATATGCTTCCTTATTGCCACTTTGAATCAACCATTCTCCAGGCAGAAGTGATAGTGTAGTGGGTAGGGCATTTGCCTTGCATGCCACTGACCCGAATTCAACCTCATATTCAGCACCACTTATGGTCCCTCAGGCACTGCTAAAGCGTTCACTGACAGCAGAGGCAGGAGTAACCCCCAGAAAAGCCAGCGGGGGCCCAAAATCAAGATAAAAAAACAAAAAAATGCAAATCAACCCACTTCTTAGGCTCAGAGGAAGTTTTCCCTCTATGATTCTAAATTTTACTTTTCACTTAAACTTTCTAACAGGATTTAATTACATACTGTAGTTTGTATTACATTTTTAATTCACTGTGGAGCTCCTGACACTTCAAACAGTATCTTAGGTTTCTTACAGGCAGGAACTGTATACTTACAGGATTTGTGTTGCTCCAAATTCTAATCTAGTTCAATACACTAAGTTTAATAAACCAGATCTAGCAATATATTAAGAGAAAATGCACTCAACAAGGAATATTTGACAAAGAAAGTTATAAAGGAGATACCCTGAGCCTGACTGAGACAGCCTGGATAACAACTCAGAAAACCAACTACTTCAGACAAAAGGGTCTCTAGTTCTATACCATTAGTGTGAGTGTGACGGTACCAAGATCTGAGGCACTGAATTACTAGCAACTAGCTTAGACTATAGAACTAAATCTATGGGGTCAAATTATTGGAATTAAAAACAATAACCCAACCAAACCATGCTAAAGTAATTACACTGAAACAAAAAAGCACAGTTGAAATTACCTGCATACAAGCATCCTGACCCCTGATTGCAGCTATGTGAGCTGCTGTCCAACCTCTTGTGGTTACTTTTGTGATATCAGCTCCATGCCAAAGAAGCCAATGAAGACACTGTATTAAGAAAGTAACTATTAGTAATCAGTAAGGCAGAGTTTTGTAAATACCTGCGCTTTTTAGTTTATAGTCACATAAAATAGTTACTGAACCTAAGAAACATCATCTGTGAGGGGGTGAATGGAAAATAATAGCACACGCACGATGACATTAGGCCTTACTGTTGGGCAAGTAATAGGGAATAGAAACTGTGATAAGTAAGGCATCAAATTCCTTACCCTTAAAATGGAGATCCTTCTCAATTCCATCCATATGTTGCTGAAAGTGAAGTGTTGATCCAAATTCTTATGTTTAGACAGAATTGTGAAGTCAAATAAAAAAGCATGAGTGAAACTCTCTTAAGCTGCCAATCTGCAATCTCTACCACAGATTTTTTTTTTCTTTTTGGGTCGCAGCCCCGTTGTGGGCTCACGCCCACATCCACTGGTACTCAGGTCTATTTCTGGCTCTGTGCTTAGGGATCAATACCGGCAGTGCTTGGAGGAACATATGCAGGTATCAGGGTTCAAACTAGGACGGACAGCGAGCATGCCAGGCCAGTACCTTACCTCATTGTTTCAATTTTGATTAATCTAACTCTCGGGGCAGAAAGATGGCTCAAAGGGCTACATTAAGTGAATTTGAAAGTTTTAAGCCTCAATAAAATAAAGAACTTACAGAGACCTGTACCACGTATGGCACTGCCTTTTATTTCAGCCTATCACTATATCTTCAAGTAGTTTCTCTTTTAAATTTTTTAAATTATATCACTGAGAAACACTTCATTACAGGTCAGTCATATCATTTGTAAAGTGGCTATTTAGATATCATTTGCCAGTCATAGAAATTAAGAACTGATGAAATATAAAATAGTAAGAGCTCTGCCTTACAAATAATTGGTCATTCATCTCTTTAGACAGTAAATACTTTTTGAGAAATTAATATATATTAACAACGTTCAGATATTTAAATTTAAAAAAATCACTGTATTTGCGCACATATTTTTTAAATTTTTCCTGGATAAATATGTCAAAAGTTTCTGAAACATGGATAAGTAAAAAGTAAAGTAAAGTAAAGGCCCTCCCGTTGATCGTCGATTTGCTCGAGGGGGCCCAGTAACGTCTCCATTGGAGACTTTGTTGTTACTGTGTCTGGCATATCGAATACTCTCGGTAGCTTGCCGGGCTCTCCGAGAGGGGCGGAGAATCGAACTCGGGTCGGCCATGATGGCTGTGTGCAAGGCAAACGCCCTATCATAAAGCCTGTGACTGTCCCCCCAGCCTGCCCCCCTCCAGGACCCCAAGGCTGCTTCCGGGTGCTTGTCCCCATTACCCTGGCTCACTCCCACCCCTGTGTTAAGATGCCACTTTGTTAAAAGTATCTCAGATGAGCTGGAGTGAGAGTTTAGTGGGCAAGGTGTTTGTCTTGCACACGACTGACCGGCTTCGATCCCTGGCATCGCCCATATGGATAAGTATATGTTTAATTTTCTAAGAAACTACAGAAGTATTTTATAAAATGGCTGTACCACTTTATCTCACTACCAGCAATTTCAGAGTTCCAGCTGTTCAATATCGCTACCAATATCTGGTGTTAATCTTTTTTTGTGTTTTTGTTTTCTGTATTTGTCCTGCCATTCTAAGAGGTATGTAGTTAAATCCTATTGTGTTTTCATTTCCTTTTCCCTGATGCTAATGGTGTTGAACATTTTTTTATGTGCCCAGCTCCCACGCATATATCCACTGGCCAATTTTTTGAGTTTTTTGTTCTCTTACCACTGAATTATAAAATACTCTTATGTATTATGGTTATAAGTGTTAGACATATTATTTCACATTAGACAAATTATTTTAAGCAGGTAACTAGTAGGAAGCAGATGAAACAGATGCAGAATGTCCATAATATGAAATAACAGGCTACTATGGGAAATTATAATAGTGACTAGTACTGTCCATAAAATAAGTATCATCCATAAAACAAGATGGGAATACTAGATATCGTGTTGTTTCCACTGTCTTTGGGTATTCATTATTTTAGCATTATGGTTTTTTATATACCACATATGAAAATGATCAGTCTGTGTTGGTCTCTCTTCTGCTGACTAACAAACTCAGCATGATACTCTTCAGATCCTTCAACATAGCAGCAAATTGCCTGACTGTATTTTCTCATAGCCAAGAAACTGTTTATATGTACCATAATTTCTTTATCCAGTCATCTATTCTTGGATATTTGGGTTGTTTCCATATTTTGGCTACCGTGGACAGTGCCAAAAGTACTGTAAACCACAGTGCAAAAACTTTTTTTTTTTCCAAAAAATGCTTCTCACATCTGAGGACAAAGTGATAGCACAGCGGGTAGGGCATTTGCCTTGCATGTGGCAGACCCGGGTTCAATTCCTCCGGCCCTCTCAGAGAGCCCGGCAAGCTATCAAGAGTAACCCACCCACACGGCAGAGTCTGGCAACCTCCCTGTGGCGTATTCGATATGCCAAAAACAGTAACATCAAGTCTCACAATTGAGATGTTACTGGTGCCCGCTCAAGCAAATCGATGAACAACGGGAGGACAGTGCTACAGTGCTTCTCATAGAAGCAGACGGGTGGATGGAGGACAAATGGAAAATTGGTGGAGAGAAGTAGGCTGAAACCTAATTGTGAATAACTGTAATTTTGGTGACAAAAATTTTTTTGTGGAAGATAAGGATAGAGAGATGAATCTACCATATTAAATAGCTTGAGTTTTAAAGAGGATGGTCATTACAGAAGCTTAAAAAGAATATTAAGTGATCAGATTCCCATTTTGTCAGACTGACTAACTCTGCATACAGACTATGAACTAGAGGAGCAAGCAGGGCACTTGCCTTGCATGCAGCCAACCTCAGTTCAATCCCTGAGATCCCACACGATCCTCCAAGACTCACCAGAAGTAATCCCTGAGCTAAGAGAAAGCCCTGAAAACCACTGGGTATGGTGCAAAGGCGGGGGAAAAAAGACCCTGAACTACAGATGATCAGACAAAATTGAAGAAAATCAATTATATTTAAGTACTGGCTATGAGGATGTAGAACGAATTTATATTTATATTAAATTTATATTTATAATTTGTAGACAAAATGGAATGGAACCAACTGACCTAGTAATCAGTCCTCATTAATATATATATATACACATCATGAAGTATACCTTCTTCTAGAAAATGTTGAGTAATGTGCTTGCTTTTGTGACAAATTGATTCAACTCAGTAATGATTCAATGGCTTTTGGCACAGAAAACAAAGGGGAAATGATAATGATGTAGTCTCAGATTAACTAAATTTTCAATGCCAGACAGTCATAGGCTATTAATCAAATACCTGACATAAGCCAAAACGGGAGAGAAAGCAAATCAATAAATTATTATTAAAAAAAGTGGTAAACTTAAAAAGGTTTGAAATATTGCCTGGAGAATATAAAGAAACTGAACACAACTGGCAACAGCATAAAAAAAAACTCTATTAATATAAAAGCCAAGATAGGTTTACAAAAGAAGATAGAGACAGATGGTACAGAGGTAAGGCACTTGCTTTGCATGCACCCAACCTGGGTTCAAACCCCAGCTTTCCATACGGCCCCCTGAGAATACCCAAAGTGATTCCTAGTGCAGAGCCAGGAGTAACCCCTTAGAATAGCCAGGTGCGCCCCCTCCAAAAAAGCCCAATAACAAACAAATCCTATGCTATTTGAATATGACAGTAAAATCACTATATCCTCCTCTACTCCAAATCATCCACAAAGACAGATCAGAAAAACAAAGAAAATTCTCCCTTTGATGAAGTAAGAGCCATCTGAAACATAAACCTCAAAATGGATAGATTTGCAAAGTTTACTTCAGAGATGTGGGGGATTGCAACAGAAAAAAAGACACATTCAGAGCTGCCAGAGCAGAAAGACCTGTGAAGTGATGCCTCTAAGAAAGAAAAAAAAGACCTGCATTACCACTACTTATATGGGTATATGGGATGCAAAAAAAAAGGGTAGACAGAGGTTCTCTGGCCCAGATTTGTTTCCAAGAAGCCAAGAAGTCCAATCAAGTAAGGAATCAGAAACCTTACATTCATAGGAATCAGCAATACAGTAAATGAATGTCAGGGGAAAAAAGAAACCACAGAGTAAAAAGACATTATGAGGGGGTTGGAGCAATAGCAAGTGGGTAGGGTGCTTGCCCTGCACGCAGCCGACCTGGGTTCAATTCCCAGCATCCCATATGGTCCCCTAAGCACCGCCAGGGGTAATTCCTGACTACAGAGCCAGGAGTGACCCCTGTGTATAGCCGGGTTTGACCCAGAAAAGAAGCAAAAAAAAAAAAGATATTATGTAATTTTTTAAAATGTAATCACTGTAAACTACTAAGTTAAAAAGTTATTCATGATTGGGTTTCAGGTGTATAATATTCCAACACCAATTCCTTGACCAGTGTCCACTTCCCTCCACCAATGTCCCCCAAGCCCACCACTGTGCAGGAAATTTTTCTTTCTTTTTTCCTTTTAAGGCATTGTGGTCTACATTTGTTACTGGCAGGGAATCATGCATATACATCACTGTACCACCTTTCAGCACCCAGTCCTCATCCAGAGCGACCATTACCCTCTAATATTGTCCCTTCCTGACCCATCCCCCTTTCCTCTAGAGTAGCAAGATTCTTACTAAAGACCAGTTCTGCGGTTCTTCATTTTCTATTGCCTTAGGGCCTTTATTATTCCCATTTTTTTTATATACTGCACTTGAGTGAGATCATTCTGTGTCTGTCCCTCTCGCTGACTCACTTCACTCAGCATAATACTCCCAGATCCATCCATGTATCAACAAATTGCATGGCTTCATCTTTTTTATGGCCCAGAAGTATTTTTTTGTGTATATAAACCACAGCTTCTTTATCATATTATCTATTCTAAGGCACTTGGGTTGTTTCCAGATTTTTGGCTATTTTGAAGAGTACTTTAATGAACATAAAGTACCGATGTCTTTTCTGTCTTTTTGTT